CTGGGCCCAGCGCCGGGGTCTGCTCTTGCCGGCAGCGGGGTCACGTGTCCCCCCTGGGCCCAAGGTAACTTTGGCTCCGCCCAGCAGGGGCTGGAGCTGTTGCAGGCGGCTGGGAGGACCGCAGCTTCCGCGGGCCGCTCTTGGTTAACACTCTTGGACAACTTCCTCAGCAGCACCCTTCTAGCCGCCGGGTTCGCCTTCTCTATGACTTCCGCGCCTTGGCCTTTCCTTTGCGGCCGCGCGAGCCCAACAGGCGGGCGGGTCCGGATCCTGCTTCACCTCGCTGGCGGTGGGGCCTGGAGCCCCCGGCCGCCTCCTCCCCGGGGCTGCTAGGAGTGTTGCCGGGGCTGGGTGTGTGTGTGTGTGTGGTGGATAATGGAGGCTAGCGAGCGAGGTTGGGGGTGTAGTGGGGGGCAGGGATGGGGTGTATGTGGGGAGGGTGAATAGTGGGGGCCAGTGAGGAGGTTTGGGGTGTATGTGGGGCGGGTGAATAATAGGGGCTAGTGAGGGTGTTTTGGGGTGTAGTGGAGGCCAGCAAGGGGCATGGGATGTATGTGGGGAAGGTGAATAATGGGGGCCAGCGAGTGAGGTTGGGGGTATATGTGGGGAGGGTAAATAATGGGGGCCAGAAAGGGGAGGTTGGGGGGTGTATGTGGGCAGAGGGGGGATTGGAGTGTAATGTAGGAAGGGGGACTAGTGGGACTAGTGAGGGGGTTTGGGTGTAGTGGGTGAAGCAAGGGGAGATGGGGTGTATGTATGTAGGTAGGGTGAATAGTGGAGGCTAGCCAGGGGATGGGGTGTATGTGGGGAGTGTGAATTGTGGAGAAGGAGAAGGGGGTTGCAGGTGTAGTGGAGGCAGAGAGGGGGATTGGAGGAAATGCACATGGGTGTGTGACATGGGGGTCAGCAAGAGGGATGGGAGTAGGAAGCAGGGACACCTTATTCCAAGTGTAGCCTCTGGATCTCACTGAGCCACTCCCCCCCCCCCCATGTAACACACTATCAATAGGAACTGTATGTTGGCCCTTAGATTTCTTTCAGGGGTTTAGCTGGTTTATAGCATCATGTTGTGCCCTAGTGCCTGCAGCATGGTGGTTTTTGTAGCACAGATGGAATGAGGCATTTTGGTAGTGGAGTGGAGATGAAGGCTGATGTGCCCTCACAAGCAATGAGAGAGGTTTGTTTACCTACTCTGACTGACTCTTTCTCTCTGCTATTCTGGTTTTGCACTGTGATCATGTGTCTCCGAATTTCTTGCCAGGGTTTACCTCTCCATTGCCTAAATGAAGGAACAATTTCCACCTCCATCTTGGATTGTACTGGGGCTAAGGTGTATGAAATCCATTTCTGGTGGCGCAGCTCATGTGAGGTAACTTTTTAACCATTTAATTAAAGTTGGATTTAGGATTGGCTGTTCCTTCCTTGGCAAGAGGCAACTGTACAGAAGTACAGGAGTTTGTCAGGCTTTGTAGAAAGCACAGGGTCTGGGAAAAGGCTGCTGTGTGGCCGGGTCCTTGGTGACACAGCCTTGTACCAGCCAGCCTGATCTCTTGCCCTAGAATAATCCTACGCAGACTCCTTTCTAGAGTTTGCTCTGTGCAGTAGCAGGTGTGAGCATTCTTGCAGCATTTTGATGGTCATGTATGATACTGCATACAAAATCTTTCAAGTTTAAGTCAAGGAAAAATGTATGGTTTACATCAGGATGGGCAAACTATGGCCAGGAGGCCACATCGGCCCTTCAGATGTTTTAATCCAGTCCTCAAGCTCCTGCTGGGGAGCAGGGTCCGGAGCTTGCCCCGCTCCAGCCAGGGAGCTGGGTCAGGGGCTTGCCCTGCTCCATGCCTGCCGTGACTCTGCATGGCTCCCGGAAACAGCGGCATGTCCCCCCTCTGGCTCCTACACATAGGGGCAGCCAGGGGGTTCTGTACGATGCCCCTGCCCCAAGCACCGCCCTCGCAACTCCCATTGGCTGCTAGGAACTGCAGCCAATGGGAGCTGCAGGGGTGGCGCCTGCAGACCAGGCAGCGTGCAGAGGCACCTGGCCGCGCCTCCACTTATGAGCTGGAGTGGGGGGCATGCCGCTGCTTCCGGGAGCTGCTCGAGGTAAGCGCCACCCGGAGCCTGCACCCGTGACCCCCCCTCCCACACTCCAACGCCCTGCCCCAGCCCTGATCCCCCTCCTGCCCTCCGAACCCCTTGGTCCCAGCCTGGAGCTCCCTCCCACACCCTGAGCTCCCCATTTCTGGCCCCACCCCAGAGCCCGCACCCCCTTCTGCACCCCAACCCCCAATTTCATGAACATCTATGCTCCGCCATACAATTTCCATACCCAGATGTGGTCCTTGGGCCAAAAAGTTTGCCCATCCCTGTTTTACATAGTCACAGTTCTTCTTTATTCAGTATTAATGTCTGTTCTGAATTTTAAACCTATCAGAGCTGAAAGAGCCATTACCTGACAAACAAGCTCTATAGGTTTAATAATCAAACTTAATTTTTATAGATCACATTTTTCATTTTCTTTAACACTGCTGAGTTCCAGTACCAATAGAAATCTGTGGATTTAGATTCTCCCACATAGAATTTAATCCCTGGCTATTTATCTTAACTTTAAGATTTAATTTAAAAAATAAGTGTTTTGCCTTCTGATTATATCCCTGTGTGGTGCCATCTTAACTGGATCTGCAGACAATAGACATGGGTGCTGTGAACTGTCCCCATGTGTCTCAATAGAAATATAATGCTGGAGCCTGATGATTTACCATGGTTTGTGTGGAAGTTCATATTTTCCCCTGCTAGTCATTCAGTTAGTGCAGTGTTTCCAGAATACTTCCAGCCCAGCCTATGCTGACTCTGTAACAGTGTTGGTATGAACCATATTTTAAAACAGTGCAGCTTGCATTGTTCCTTTGCCAGTATAAATAGAACCTAACTCCCTTTCCTTCTACTCCATTATAGCCAGCATAATAAGCAGAACAGTGGCTTTTTGAAAGTCAATAATATGTTTAACCCTGTTCAGTACCTAGACAAAAACATGGTCCCAAGGGGGGCCGCTTATAAGCAGACAGACAACATCCCAGTCTACTGAATAAAGGCCTGAATTCAAATATTTTTTTAAAAAAACTCAATTAGTAGCTCTGTTGGGTCATCTCTGAAGGTTTCATGAGGGAAGTGTGCTTTAAGGAGGGATTTGAATAGTCAGAGTTAGCTGTTGAGTGCCCAAGTGTGGAGGATTGTCTTTGGCATGAGAACTACAAACTTTGAAAGAGAGAGCCAGGAAAAGGGGTTAATGAGACACTGCTCCTCAGATGCTGTTAGAGGACATGACCCTAGACAGTGAATGTGCCTCCTTAACACCAGAAGGCCAACTGGTAGGCCTTTGAAGAAGTGAGGTTTTTACCCACGAAAGCTTATTCCCAAATAAATCTGTTAGTCTTTAAGGTGCCACCAGACTCCTTGTTGGTTTTGGTAGGCCTTTGTTCTCCTGGTTTAACATCTCAAAGTCCTCCCTGAATCCTGGGTAAGGTTAATGTAAAACATCCACTATTGCAACTTGCTAGCAGAAGGAAAACCCAGTAGAATGCTTCCTGCTTTCCTAGACCAGTTGTACTCTCATTCATGAGAGTTAAAGTTCCAGCTAACCTCCTACACTCCCTTTAACTGACCTGCACAGTGATGCTACCTCTTTTCATTTGAGACTGCTTTTTAGCCACATTGTGACACAACCAAGAAGATGTAAGGTTTGTCCACACTTGAAAGTTAATGCAGATGAAGATAGAATATGAACCTAAAAGGGCAGTTGTCGTTCTTGACCAGCTGCATGTGTGAACATTCTTATTCCAGAGCAAGAGTCCCTTGCTTCTCTTTAGTTTAACCACTGTGAATTAAGCTAAACGGGAACAAGGCTTTCCTGTTCCAGAATGAGTATCCACACGTGGAGCTGACCAGGGATAACTCGTGTTGTTTACTACAGGTATATCTACACACAGTGCAGAAAACATGTAACAAATTAACAGGTGTCTATGGATTTGGTGAACTGGCCCGTCACATGTTAATAAAATAGTAGTTCCCCCCCAATAGAAGGTGGCATTAATTAGAGACCATTTTGTTGAAGTAGGAGGAGAATTGGGAACCACTAGGTTTCTCCAGGTGAAGAAGTGGCAGGTGGCCTCTTGGCAGTGCTGTAGCAAGGAGAATTACCTTCCCTTTCCAGGCAAAGCATTAAATTATGAATCTTTAGGAACTGGGACACCTCAAAACCAGTGTTAAGACTGAATGATTAGTGGTCTTTTTTCATCATAATGTAATATTGATAATCATAATGTAACTTATCTGGCACTTGGCACAAATCAAGTAATGTATACAGAGTACATCCAAAAAGGCAAGTAAATGGGTACTCTTCCAGATTGCAGTATATCAATTTTATTTTTTTGCAAAGTAACTGCTATCTTAAATAATGAGCACTTGTCATATTTTCCTAAAATAAATCAAGAAAGCAGCTGGCTTGATCTATCCACTTTTTCACTGAGATTCATAGCAAAGTTTCAGCAAATACTACAGAATCTCTCTTTGGCTATCTGTCCCTCTTTTCTTTTAAATAACCTGGGGATTTGGGGAGTCTGGTATTAATCAGACAATGTACAACTAGGTATAACTTTAATGTTCTAAACAAATACTATATCTCCTGTTGTGACTATAATAGTGATGAGATCTGACACATCCATCTGACACAACATTCCAGTAGAGACCAGGAGAAAAGTGTTATCACTCAAATAAGTGCCACAAGTACTCCTGTTCTTCTTTTTTCTTAATCAATGTGTCACCAGGCATGTGTATTGTAGTTCTGAATAGCTGAAGCACAGTAGGATTTTCAAAAATGCCTAAATTATCTAGGAGCACAAATCCCACCCTAATCTGCACGTGAGGCTCTAGTGCCCTCAGCTTCATCTCTAGTAAGTCTGCAACTACGTTCTAGTTAAAACTGAAATGATACTCACTCCTAAAATATAGAAACATCTAACTGCAAAATGGCTTTTGACTCTCTTAAATGTACTGTGATTAATTTATGACAGTCACTGACTAATAGCTAAGCTCTCTTGTCTACGTGCTCCATGGTATAAAGATAAAACTCTGCTGATTAGAAACCGGATGATCATTCTACACTGCCTCCTGGGTAACTATTCAGATGTAACTAAAAATGTCTATCCAGAACTTTAGTTGCAAGCACTGGAATTAAACATATACATTAGGGCTAATAAAGTGCAAGATTATAGGCTTCCAGTTGACCAGGAGAGGGCAGTGTAATGGAATCTCAGACAGCAGTTAGTTGCCTGCTATTATATGGATTAACGTGCTCTGTTCAGTTTTCTTGCTTTAAAAGGCTCTTTCCTTTGATCTGGCAAATGCTGCTCTTCCCTGGTGTACAAACCAACATGCTTCTGTTCTGTTTACTTGTACAGAAAAGCATATAGCAAGCAACCTGAGTCCTGAATAAAGCAGATCTGTGTATCACTAACGGCAATAAAAAATGCATTTTTTTATAATCAAAGACACACTTCCAACATTTGATACGGTTGTGGGAAGGTTTGGATTCTAAACTAGTGGAAGACCTCATAAGTTTGGGCATACTCTTCATTTCCAAAGTGAAGTTACAACTGGCTAAATATTTAAAGGATACTAGGCAAGATAAAGTACTACATAAGAAACAAGTGTTATAAGACATTTTCCCCTCCACCCAGCATACAATGTGGTACAACTACTTATAAAAGTTGTTCTTTAGTGGCTGCAGTTGAGAGGTTTGGTTTTGTTGTAGCTTTTTCTTCCTTGCAAGCCAAAGTAAATATTTAACTTGGAGACCAACATGTATAAAAATATTTAAGTCAGAAACTTTAAAATAACAAACCTGTGAGCATACACAGCAGCAGGGAAGAGAAAGGCATTTGGTAAGGAGAGTGCTGTCACTTTTAGATTCTTAGTGTAACTTGATATAAAATTTCTCCATATGTTAATGTAAAATCGCACTTGCCAGTTATTAGCATAAGAGTTTTTAACATGAATAAAATACTTGCAGGTCCTTATGTTAGGCAGTTTAGTATATACAAGGTTTCAGTAGTATTGTGCCTGACTAGCACACCTGGTCAACATCCAGAAATCATTCTCTTCAACCAAAGTGAGGGAAGGGTGCATTTGTACCTTTGCCTTGAAATTGCCTGAGTTCAGCCATACCTTGGCACTCATCTAGACTAGCGTCATCTTGAGCCAGGCATTCTGTATTTATGGCAGGTAGGCCGAGAGTTACTAGGCCACCTTTGTTTACGGAGTGGTAAACTAATGGGCCATTTTGGTACAGGGAGTACTTGCTTGCAGTCTTAGAGCTAAATGCAGTCAGCTGCTCATCAGACCTTCATCTCCGGTGAAACTTGCTCCATTTGCACTTGTCCAAAGAGCAGGCCCCCTCTCTTTTAAATCCTGAATCAATATCTTTTACAACGGAACTTCAGAGCATCTGCACATAAGACCTTCAGTGAATTCTGCATCAGTTTCATTAAGCAATCACAATGACTTGCAAATGTCACCCTAAGCTTTCTAAGTTTGCTTAGTTGCTCATATTGCACTCTGCACAGCTCTGACCTGTCTGTATGTGAAGCCTTTTGAAGTATGT